CCGGTGGAAATGCCGCCAGAGATAGAGGGAGTAGTCGCTAAGTACCCTGATCTATTTGAAGAGCCAACAGGGGTTGTTGAGAGGGAGGTCATCCATGCAATAGAGATTATTCCATGGTCTAGCATCCCGAAGGGTAGGATCTATCAGATGTCTCCAGGCGAGCTTGATGAGCTTCACCGGCAACTCAAGGAACTCGTAGAGAAGGGTTGGATTCGGGCAAGTGTTTCCCCTTACGGATCTCCAGTATTATTTGTGCCGAAGAAGGGGGGAACTCTGAGGATGCGCGCTGACTATAGGGGCCTCAATGCCATTATTGTCAAGAACTAGCCCCAACCGCGCATTGACGATTTGCTAGATAGAGTGCAAGGGTGCCAGTACTTCAATAAGATAGATCTGAAGTCCGAGTACCATCAGATCGCAATCCGGCCCGAGGATCGGCACAAAACCGCTTTTCAAACCAGGTACAGTCTATACGAGTTTGTGGTGATGCCTTTCGGCCTTTGCAATGCTCCTGGCACCTTTCAACACACTATGAATCTGGTTTTTCATGACTACCTGTATAAGTTTGTCATCGCGTACCTCAATGACATACTTATTTTTAGTAGGATTGTCGAGGAGCATGTTGCGCACTTAGATGAAGTCCTCAGTCTACTACGGCAGCACAAGTTCAAGATCAATGGGGAGAAATGCGAGTTTGGGTCATGAGATTTTCACAGAGGGTTTGAAACCCGATGACGCAAAGGTGGCCAGCATTCGTGCCTGGCCGCGTCCTCAGTCTGTGACTGAGATGAGGTCCCTCGTAGCGATGACCGACTACTATCGCAATTTTGTGAAGAACTATAGCATAGTTGGCGCCCCTTTGACGGACCTAACTTGCCTTGACACCCCATGGGAGTGGACAGACAGGTGTGAGGCTGCTTGCAGACAAACTTCCTGATCCTGACAAGCCGTTTATAGTTACCACGGATGCTGGCCAATATGGCATAGGCGTCGTGCTCGTGCAGCAGGAGGGGCCAAAGTTGAGGCCAATGGAGTACATGTCCAAAAAAATGCCCTCTCAAAAGTTGGCTAAGTCCACCTGTGAGAAGGAGCTGTACGCGATCTATAAAGCGCTAACCCATTGGAGGCACTATCTCCTTGGGAGGTTCCTCATCGTCAGGACTGATCATCAGACCCTGAAGTGGATGAGAACTCAGCTTGTGCTCTCCAATGCGCTGAAACGCTGGATCGAAGTCATTAAACAATATGACTTCGAGCCCCACTACCTCAAAGGTGAGTACAACAAAGTTGCTGACACGCGGTCGCATAGGCCAAACTTCTCCGGTGCGCTGATCACTGAGTTTGGGCTTGCGGACGATGTCACTCGCTCTTTGGTGGAAGCCTATCGCGAGGACCAGTTCATGTCCGAGATCGTACCCAGACTCGAGGCGAAGGACAAGGTGACTTCTGCAGAGTTTGAGTTGGTCAACGGCTTGCTGTTCCCTGAGAAGGATGGGAATAAACGTTTGTGTATTCCTAATAGAGAGTCTTTGCGTAGTTTATTTTTAGGTGAGAGTCACGATGCCACGGGACATTTTGGTTTCAAGAAGACTGCAGCCAATCTGCTGCAGCGGTTCTGGTGGTCCACGGTGATGAGAGATGCCAAACTGTATGTCGAGACTTGTCAAGTTTGTCAAAGTGACAAGCCCTGGACACAGGCTCCTCTTGGGCTGCTCAAGCCCCTTCCCATTCCGGAAAGGCCTGGTGAAAGCCTGTCCATGGACTTCATGGATACGCTAGTCACCAGCAAGAGTGGCATGACGTACATCTACGTCATCGTGGATAGATTCAGTAAGTATGCTAGGTTAGTGGCCATGCCGGAAAAATCAAAGACCGAGTACGTTGTCAAGCTATTTAAGGAAAACTGGGTCAGAGACTTTGGCGTACCAAAGTCTATAATCAGTGACAGGAAAGTCCGATTCACAAGTGAACTGTGGAAGGCCGCAGCCGCCGAACAAGGAACGCCACTGCAGATGACATCTGGAAACCATCCAGAGGCAAACGGACAGGCAGAGCAAATGAACCGCGCTGATCAACACTTGCTAAGGCACTACATTAAGCCTAATTAAGTGGACTGGGATGAGAAGCTTGCTCTCATCGCCAGCCTATACAACAACGCAGTTCATAGTGCCACGGGAGTAAGTCCTAACAGCCTACTTCTAACATTCAAACCCAGACTCCCCCTTGACTTTCTGCTACCTGAGAACCAGCCTACTGCTGCTCCAGGCACTTTGGAATTCGCTTATAGATATGAGTCATATGCAGCAGGCAGTAGAACACATGCACAAAGCACAGACGGCGATGATCGAATCTGAGAACAAGCACCGCCGCCCATCTATGTTTCAGGTAGGGGACAGGGTCTGGGTCAAGGGTTCAGAACTGGGACAGGAGCACGGGATTTCGTATAAGTTCATGCCACAGTACTTAGCACCATGGGAGGTTTTGGATGTAGTTGGGGATGAACCTGACGGGCCCTCATATGTCATTCGGATCCCTGGACACCTTCGCACTTACCCTGTTTTTCACGCCTCTAAGCTGGCACCGTTCAAGGAAACTGACCAGTTTCCTTCTCGTCGCTCTATGCTGCCCGCAACCATGGACGGAGAGGTCGACATCGACGACATCGTTGACCACAGGGAGATGCCAGTTCCAAGACCGACAGGCAGAGGACGTCCTCCAAAACCGGAGTTGCAGTACCAAGTTCAGTTCAGACATCACACTGATCCAAAGGAGGACAGATGGTTCACACGGGAGGAACTGATGCAGACCGCTTCACAGGTTGTCGCTCACTACGAGAAGTCTCTGCAGAAGGGAAAACGCCAGATTATCGAAGACTGAACTTCTCAGAGAACTATCGAAGTATGGAGGAGGGAATACGAGGCACAGGGCCTCGATATGCCCTACAGGGCCTATTTTCCACAAAGTTGGCCACACTAAGTGAAGACAGGCCCAACGAGGCCTACAGGCCATTTTGGGGTCACCACGCAACTGGGGAAATTCAGGCAGTTACGCAGCGCCAGTTGGTTGAAAGCGCCCAGGCCCAGGCTGCCTTTCATTGCATGTAACTGAGGAAGGCCCTGGGCCGGATACACCAAGTGGACCGAACAAAGGCTGAGGGCAGTTGGGTGCTGGTAACCACCACAGGCCCTGGGCCTGTTTACTTCGGACTGAGGCTCAGCCTCGTGGGCCCTACCGGAAGCTTCTGGGCCAGGGCCCAGTACCGCATTACTGCACGCAGCAGCAGGCCACTTCCATATAGAGAAGGGGCTGCCTACGCATTGCGCATTTGGGCACTGGCTGCATTGTGCGCAAGCGCTGCTGCGCTATCTCTGGCCAGTGCTCACGCGCTCACGGGCGAGCTGGAAGGAGCAGGTAGCAATAGCCGAGCTGCGCTGCTGTATGCTGGATGGGGCACATGGTGGTCCTTGGGTGCAAGTGGCATCTGTGAGTTGGGGAACGAGGTTGTGAGTGATATGAGAGGCATACCTGGTGCTTGAGGTGTGCGGCATTGGCCGAGATCGGCTCGTACTTCGGGGAGCTGTTGACGTCATCTGCGGCATTGTAGTCTAGGCTAGATAGGATCTGCCATTCGTAGTCTGGGCGCCGAGCGCCAGATAGGATATCGACATTGGTTCTTCGTTGATGATGATGAGACTATTCCAGCATTGTCAATTATGAGCTTTTGCTGTGCTCTTATTTGGTGAAACTCGTGATGCAATTCTGCTATTGGTTCGAGGTCACGACTATCTGGTCTCATGTGTATCATGCTGTTTGATTTCTGAAGTTCGCTATCGCTCATCTTCCTTGCACAAACTAAATTCAGGGAACAATTCATTAAAAGTTGTAACTGGATTCCAACTTCTCCAACCATGAAAACAACTCATGTAGCACAATAACTTTGGAAAACACATGTACGGACATATCTGCAACAGCCCAAAAACACTCCTTCCAAACAGAGTGACAGAAATAATTCAAACTAAATTCAGGGAAGAATTCATTAAAAGTTGTAATTGGACTTCTCCAACCATAAACACAACTCCTGTAGCACAATAACTTTGGAAAACACATTCTACTTCGAGTTGAAACACATGAAACAATCCCTTGGACACTGGAGTTCAAACATGGCTAGTACTAATCCACAGCCCTCAACTCATATGTTGTTGTTTTTTTTCTTTCTTAATATGTATCTTCAAACAGAGCTGCCCGGTAAACCGCATCGAGTTGAAACACATGAAAGAGTCCCTTGGACACTGGAGTTTAAACATGGCTAGTACTAATCCACAGCCCTCAATTCCTATGTTTTTTTTTTTTTTTTTCATATACATCGTCAAACAGAGCTTCCCAGTAAACCGTCTGCAGAGAGGGAGAAGAGGACGACAAATGAGGGGCTGTGACCATCTGTTTCGTCGGAGTTTCACAGACTCATCAGGTATATATCGTCACAAACAGAACTGCCCGGTAAAACCGTAGGCAGAGAGAGAGAAGAGGACAACAAACGAGGGGCTGTGACAAACTGTTTCGTCGGAGTTTCACCGACTCGTCAGGATGCTAATATATACCGTTGTGTTCTCCTCATATGGGGGACAGTTGTATTTTTTACCTACCCTATTTTCTTCTCTATTCCCTCGCAATAGCTACCCATATCTATGATGTACCCACAAGCCCTACAAGGCAGATACTGAACCACAACTAGTCAGGGAGAGCAGCTACTACCCCAGACAAGCAAGTCCGCACATCAAGGGAACCAGGATCTAGGACTAGAGTCCCCAGCTAGGATCCAGGGCTAGGGTCTAAGGCTAGTATACAAAGTGATTCAATGAAAATTAAATTCTACTTGCCAAATAAGGCAAAAAACAAAAAACACAAGCATGTAGTTCAGCAATGGAGTACACAGAGGCGCAAACATTAAATTCAAACAGATAAAATTGCACTGAAAGGGTGGGTATATCAGTTGAACTCACGTTGCCCCATCTCTGCTGCTCTCCTGAAATTCATCCTTCCCTTTCCGCCACCACAAGTTGCGCAGCTGGTTCTTCAGTCCCTTGCGTGTTGCAGAAATCTGAATCGTCATGCAACAGGAGGGTTTGAAATACTTTCCTGTTTGACATTTGCTCTTTTTAAATCCACAATGAATGCTTAAATGCGAACTGGTTTTGCCAGGAAAGCGACCAAAAGGATAATAGAAGTGCAGTAAGGCATGGCGAGGAAAGAAGTGTCAGAGAAAGAGGGACATCCGCCATTGTCGAAACCCGTCTTGTGTTCTGAAATGGAGGAAAATCATGTCGTTTTCCAGAAGAGGTATGTGCGACTGTTCCATTTTCCGAAGCTGCAAACTACATGGAGTCTCGGTCCAATTGGTGCTCTTCATTCAAAAATCCTTAAACTGAAAAGACGTCAGGATGTTGCGTACGGCCATTGCACTTCAGATCAAACTGACGACGGAGCTACAACTTAGTTCATGCGATCTCTAGTATCTACTTTTGATTTTCTTTTGCTATGCTATTCTTGTATTCAATACTTCACGAACACAACCAGTCGATAGCACAATAACACATTTTGCGTAAATGTTACGGATGGAGACAGATTCCAACCCCCGACATGTTGCAATTCTTTTGCCCCGAACAGAATGCACCAAGATCATGGCAAGAGTGTGATCTGCTGAGGGGAATACACTAGGGCTGAAAGAGGGTTTCCTGGAGTCAGTCGATGACAACGCATAAAAGCTGTGAGCTCACTTGCAGTTCTATTGCCACAATATACAATACCAGAACAAAGTCTCAATATCCAATGCCGCGTGCCAATGTCGTTTGAGAACTGGGTTTCCTAACAAAGCTCCTGTCATTTCACACAGATGTGCTGAGAAGTCTGAGCATGTGTGTTTACTGGTCTCCCTGCATTTTGGGGGTATGCCAGATGCACGCCGAGTATTGGTCTCTGCGAGGTAACTCCGTTCTCATGCTTTCTTTTGTAACCTGGGGAGGAGTAGATTTAAAAATAGATGTAGTTGTAGGGACAGACCAGCTGCATGCTGATTCTTAGTCTGTCTGCGGTCTGTTCTCATCATGGTGACCGGCTGGACATCCGGACTGGGATCCACACAGATCGGATGTCTGGGGACGGGACTGGTGTCCCCGCCAATAGGTCCGGTAGCAGCCCTTCCCCACGAAATTCCTAAAAAAAAAAGGGGCACCTACGGACATTTTGTTTTTTGCTGTGTTTGTAGATACAGAATACAGATCATGTTCAAGTACAGTCATACAGTTGTTTTTTATGTCCCATTGGGCATGAGAAAAAGCCTCAAAGAGGTCTTCGGGACATCGTCTTAACCGTCAGGTGCCAGACTACTCTCCCGAGTCCCGACTCTATTTTTTTCCCACAACAAATTTTCGAACGGGGTGCGAGTGACTACTTATCCATGCCCGGGAACCCTTCTTTTGTGATTACCTATTTCCCCTGTCCACCGCATGGCGTGTGCAGCATACGCGCATAATTGTCCCCACGGCATGCACTTGCAAGTCTGCTTCATACACAACCTGATAGCTTGAACACAAAGCCTGAACTACTGGCAGCACTACCGTCTTCAACCAAATAGAACGCCGGGACATTATCGCTGTATCTGGTCTGAAAATTGCCTAAGTATAGCCATAATTACCAGGCTTTCTATTCGGGTGAAGATGGTAGTCATTAGGGCAGAGGACCTCTCTCAATAACAGAATGCCAGCCACATATATCCCAAAAATCGTAGTGTGAGTAATCCCTGATCCTCTTTGTTATGATTCTTCTCCGGCCCATATCCTGCACAGCCCACCTTGTTTTCCAGGCAGCTACCCAGCTCTGCCTGCACATGCCCCTACCTTTTTCGGTTACATACACGCTCGAGGATCAATTACGCACCTGATGATTAAGCATACGGATCTTTTGCTCCATATGAGGAATGACCGCTTTCACTGCCAGATCTGTCACAAACTCTTCGACCTGAAAACCAAAGTGATTCCCTGTGAGACACACATAGAACATGTTCTCGACCTTTGGCTTGACTTAAACATAGATTCAACATTCGATTAACATTCTGTTAGCCTTTGACTTATCTTAAACATGACATCAGCATGTGATCCCCAGGAGCTTTGACCTTCGCTTGACAGAGAGAACAAAAGACATTTTAAGTACGCACAGGATTGTATGACATGGCTCGACTCGTTCAAAACAAACAAAAGAAGATAAAAACAAAGCGAAGGCCTCTCTTCAACCCAAAAGTTCAAAAGAAAAACAAAAAAGAAACATTCATCTGGATGATTGCCAAGGACAGAGGGAACCATGAGGCCCAGGCACCAGGTACAGTGCAGGGTAGGTGGGCAATGCCACGTGAGCCGGCCGTACAAATGAGCCCTCTCCACCCACCAGAAACACACACAGAATTACCTGGTTGGTTCTGGATTTGAAATGGGGTCCCTGTTTCCGAAGTTCTTAATACTGCGCCAGGTCGGCACAAAGGTTACCTCGAAAAGGTCGATGCAAAGGTTATCTCGGCGAGGCTGTCGCCGTCTTTTTCTTTTCTTTTTTTTTCCTTTTCTTTTTGTTTCTTCTTTCTTTTCTTTTTAAACCAACGTATTTCATTGCTGGGAAACGGGCCCAGCCTTCCTTACATAGTATGCGTGCGACCTTGGGCAGGAGATCGGCATCTCCGGCCAGGCCCAGTCTCAGGATAATCGGCTTTTCTGAGGAAAACAAGATACAAACCAGAGAACAAAATACACAAGAACCGAAAAAAAAAACACAAACCAAAAACAAAAGTGACTGTGTGAGCATGCCCCCACAAACGATTGAGTGATTGTGAGCAATGCCCTAAGAAACAACTATGTGTGAGCTAAGAAACGACTATCCATGCCCTAAGAAATGGATATTTGTCAGCATGCCCTAAGAATAGTAAGAAACAACTGTGTGAGCATGTCCTAGTAAACAACTCTGTGAGAGCATACCCTAAGAAACGACCACATCCCAGATTCGAGCATTGACCACAATCCCATCCAAAATAAGCAAAATATCCCTTTGTATTTTTTCGAACATCCCAGATTCAAGCGGGATGTATCTGACCACAATCACGTCCAGAAATAAGCCAAAAAGTCCTGGTGTGAGCATGCCCTAAGATAGCTAGCTGCAAAATACAAATGGGGCTCTTTGCAACCAGAATGTTATGTGCTTGCAAACCTCCAAAACGGACTGCAAACTTCGAAACCGCGGTGCTATGACCTTGTATTCAAACATTCACTGCTGCAGGGCAAGCCTCCAAATCAAACCGCGATGCTCTGGGGGGGGGGAGGAAACAGCACAACCTCGCCCACCCTGAATCCCGCAACGCAGGAAAACGAAAAAGAAATTGGGGCCCATGGGAAGTGCCTCACAAAGCCCGGTCCTTCCTTTATATAGACAAGTTCAGTCACGCCGTGCGCGATGCTCGCAGCCAACAGCCAGGGGCGAAGATGGCCCTGATTGAAAGGAGCCGCAGGCCAAGACGGTCATGACTCAAAAGAGAGGAGGGAGTTAAAACCTCCGTTGACAGCACTGAAGTATTCGAACATCGTGGAGGAGAGCACGAACTGCACGACAACCCACATGACAATGAAACCCAAAAAATGAAACCCCAGCTCTGGATGTGATAGCAGTTAGATGCATCCACGTCCGGCCGGACTTAGGCCACAGTCAAATTGTGGAGCTGAACCCCCCCCCAAAAAAACACCCTTGGCCAGGGGATACAAACAAGAACCCCCCCGCCCTGGCCTCCCCCCACGACTCCGTTCCTTAAGTGTCCTGTGTTTTTCGGGGCTGCTATGTACTTCTATTTGAACATGCCACAGCCCGCATCCTCCATGAATTAAAAAAAACGCACTCCGTTCCTAAAGTGCCATGTCCTCTTCAGGGCTGGTATGTCCTTGTATTCACACGTGCCGCAACCCGACTCGAGCCCTGCTCACGCATGGGCCTGTCTCCGCTCAGCTCCAGATGTGATTCCATTTGCACGCATCCGAGGCCCATCGCCATTAGGTCACCCCATATGTTTGTCAGCATTGGCCTCGCCCCGCTACTCCCAACATGAACAAAAGACAAAAAATATTGCAGTCTTTCCACGTTCTTCTCGCAAGCAAAACAAGGATGAATATTAACACAGAAAATGGGAAGATTTCTTAGATTTGCCTTTTGTGCATGTGGAGCAAAATGAGAATGAATCTCCCACTACATGGAAAGATACACCGCCATATTTTGTGTCTTTTGCACATGTGGAGAGTACTGGAGCGAAGCCCTGTGTCCTTGAAAGTCGCGCAAATGCAAAACTCACGCCAGACAGCCTCAACCCCATGACAACGGGGCAAAAAAACTTCCAACGGCCACACAGGAAAGTCGTGCTAGACAACCCCAACCCGACCACAGCGGGTCAAAAAAAAAACCTCCAACCCCAAATCACACACCACAAAAAATAATTTGTTACAATTGAAAAAAATTCAAAAAGTTGATCGTGTGAATGGCATTGGAAATGCAAATTCTGGTACAAGGTTGCAGGTTCAAAACTCCACAGCCTTGCTCGCAGGCATTGACCAACAAACGGCCATTCACACACTCCCTTTGGGCTGATGCATGGTAATTATTACAGACACTGCCTGCGCACCACCCAAGGGGTTTAGTCCATGGCTGTAGTATGCTGGTGGCAGGCCATGGGGGAGGGCTTTTTGAGTGGTTGGACTTGGGGTGGCTCAACAACTGTGTGTGTGTGCGTGTGTGTGTGTGTGTGTGTGTGTGTGTGTGTGTGTTGTGTGTGTGTGTTGTGTGTGATCCAATGATCTCTGGGTCATGTCTCGTGCACTCACCATGGGCGCGGTAGAGTTAGGTTGGGTAGAGGTCTTAGGTCTAGACTTGGTTAGGTAGGAATTTGGGTAGAGATTGTGGGGCTGTCTGTATGCGCCGCCTCATTCGTATGCACTGCTGTGTGGGTGTGTCATGGGTGTGTTTGGGTACTGTAGTAGTTTCCCAGCCTCATGGTAGACCTGCAAGGGTCCATACTTACATTGTATGATCCTGCTCTCTGTCCGGCTCTGTTCTCTACACCCCCACTTGAGTAGTGGCAAGGGTTGGGTGTTAGGCATATACAATTCCCAAGGGCGGGCCTCATGTCTATCTTACGATGCTTGTGGGCTGGCATTTATCCACGCTGGTTTCTGTCTGCACTCCCATTGATTTGGGCATGAATCTGGGGAAGGGTCGTGGTAGACACCCATAGAGTCTACCACACCCATAGAGACTGCTAGATGTGATGCAGGTGGGGAATGACCACATATCTGTGACCCCTCCTGTGTCCGGGTCGTCCTCAACAGTTCGGGGTGTCCGTATGGTAGCGGCCCAGGGGGGACTCATCTGAGACCTCGGAAGGCAGGGTTGGTGTATCTCTAGGTCTAGAGACAAGTCTGGGTCGCACCACTGCAGGGCTCGACTTGCGATCTGATCAGGACAACAAAGAATGTTCACAAAAGATGCCCCTGGAAGAGACTGTCCTTGGGGCTGTCACAAGCCATCTGATCTCCCCACTGGTCGACTACAACGACAGGCACCTCCCGAGGCCAAGCATCCAGCCTCTTCTACGATCTGGACTTTTATATGGGAAAAAAGAACGATCGTACAAAAACAATGGTTCGAGAAAAACTGGAATGTCGGCAAAAAAAACAATAAAATCTCTCTCGATGGTGGAAGATAGACATTCAAAGTGGACAGACATTCAGAGTAATGCGACAACAGACCCTGGTACTCGTGACAAACACTTAACCGCTCGGTTCCTTGGCACTGGGCAGAACCAGATTCCAGACGACAACCAAAACAAGAGTTGCACATTCATCCTGCCGGACATCACAGGGATGACTATCCCCCTGATCAAACTAATGTAAAAACTGCAGGGTTATCTAACTCGATGCCATATGATTGCATATCCCTCCGTTCAGACTAAAATAAAAACTGCACTTTCACCAGAACTCTATCTCATACGATTGACCCTCCCTCAGGTCAAGCCAGCACTGAACTGGCGCACTTTCTTTTTTCTGATTTATTAAATTCAAACCTGGGCTACTGTTGCATACTCGTGAAACACAGTCATAAGTATGGCGCAGATTCCCAGAACCAACCAGATCATACAGAGTAAATACAAATACAGCGGAAGACTTGAGATACATTGATTGACTCGGACCTGACTCAGTGTTGCATACTGTAACGGTGCAGACCAGAACAAGAACCGACCTCTCAATACAAAGTATAAGATAGCACAGCGGAAGACTTAGATCCAATGATCCGAACAATCAATATTGCAATGCAGCCCTGAACATACATCATCATCATCGTTACACGGTGTGAATGGGGTCTGGCGCTTCACACAGGAAGACTGCGCCAGCCCCTACCATACACAGACGAAGAAGAAGGGGGTTAGACGAAGAGGACGGGAAGATGGGAATGTCGTCAACACCAAGTCTTCGGCACAGCCCAAATAGTCCCTCTTCCAAATGTCTGAATCCCAAATGTCAAGTCTGGATCCAATGTCGTCAAGTCCCAAGTCACAACTCTCTCTCTGTAGTAGTCCGCTGATACTGAGAAGTCAGGTGGTGAGAGGGGAAGAAGAGATGGTGGACTTAGAAGAGGAAGAAGAAGAACTCTCTCTCTCTCTGTAGTAGTCCGCTGATACTGAGAAGTCAGGTGGTGAGAGGGGAAGAAGAGATGGTGGACTTAGAAGAAGAGGAAGAACCTCTGAAGTTGGCGCCTTGATGCAGGTCCCTCGAAGATGGAGCTGGAGCTATGGCGCCACAGGTAAGTCTCGCTGGCCACCGCCAGCCATCTCTCCCAACTCTACTATCTACCACCTACTAGCGCCCAGCGCTGAAGACTACTGCTATGGCTACTAGCGCCCAGCGCTGAAGACTACTGCTAGCGCTAAGCTACTCCCTGCAGCACTCCTCCTGGGTGCTGCGCGGAATCCTGAAGACTACTCGTGCCTACTGCCCAACTACCTACCCGTGAAGTGCATGGGAACTTCCTATGTACTACCAGGTGCCTCCTAACTGCAGGCAAGGCAGTCCAGGAGGCTGCTCTTGCCAACGCTGAAGGGAGGCAGGGGCTGCAGCTGCAGCTCCTGCTCGAGCTGTCGTGGGGAACAGGCTAAAGATAGCCTGTTCCGAAAACCCTGTTTTTGTGCCTGAGTCTTAGGCAGGTCGAACACAATGAGGGCCTGAAAATGGCCCTCCGTTTCAGGCTGAAAAGCCTCTGGGCCTGAAAGGCCCAGAAATAGCCTGAAAACGGAACAGGGCCTGCAGGCCCTCGTTTTTCAGTTTCAGGCTGAAACGACCGGGGCCTGTAAGCCCTATTTTCTAGGCTTTTAGGCTGAAGGTGCGGGACGGGCCCTGCAGGGCCCGTGTGGCTACGCAGTATGCCGCACCCGCCCTCCTTGAAAGACCGGCCTTACCTGAGAGGGCGAAGCTGTCTGTCTGAGGGAGGGACCACAGTCCAGGTGGGAGGGGCCGGTCGTGAAGCTTCCTGAGCTAACCTTTGCTTCTCATAATGCGCGTAGATCAGCGGGCGGATGCTTTCAAATTTGCTCCTGAAATCCACCGAGTGTCGTCGCGATCGCAGGCTTTGAATGTCACTTTGTACTGTCGCGGCTTGCTGCCGTACTTGCGATCGGTGATGACGCGGTCAACTTCCTGATGACCATCCATAGAAGGAGGGTCCTGCGATCGTCGGCCCGGAAAGTCGTCGCTCTTAGCTGGCGTGTATGTTGCCAGCTTTGAGGCTTGAAAGACTGGATGGACCGTCAGATGCGGGGGGATGTTGATCACAAATGAAGGGCCATGGGGCTCATCGCCCGCGGCCGATGTTACAGGCCATGGTCCAAACCACTTGGGAAGCAGTTTGCGTGAGACATCCTGTTCCAGTGCAAACTCTTCCCCGGAAACCCAAACCAGGTCGCCGGGGCGGATGGGACATGGCACGCGATGCCTGTTGGCTTGCTGCTGCATGCGGACTTGAGCCTTTTGCATATTTGCGCAGGCTTGAGCGAGCAATTCCCTGTACTTCCGAATGGAAGCGGGAGAGCAAGCGGCATCGATGTCGGCTGGACGTGGGAGGAGAAGGTCGGCGAAGATACGGCCTTTCCATCCACCGTGGTGCAACTCGAATGGAGTCACGCCGATCGCCGGGTGCACCGAAGTGTTGTAGGCGAACTCGATGTCGGGGAGGCGGTCAACCCAATCTTTCTGGTCCGGACGGATGAGCGTACGAAGCATCATTTGAGCGGTTTGATGTGCCCGCTCCGTCTCCCCGTCTGTCTGTGGATGCCGAGCCGAACTTGGCTTCATCTTCGTGCCGGACTCCTACATGACTGCAGTCCAAAATGCCGACATGAAGCGAGTGTCGCGGTCGCTGACTGTCTGCCTATACACCATGGCCGCAAATCCAGCCGGTGTGCAGGAGGCGTGCCAGCTAGGGAGCCGTGGAGTAGTACTTGCAAGGGAGAAAACGCGCATACTTACTCAAACGGTCCACAACCGTGAGGACGCCGTCGTGTCCGAGGCGGTCGCGGGGGAATGGTCCGGTGTCATCCATGGCAATGGAGAGACCGGGTTCCTGCAGGATCTGCATCGGGCGCAGCTCGCCGTAGGGGTTGCGGTTGCGGGGTTTGCTTCGTCGGCAAACTTCGCAAGAGTCGCAATACCTCATGACGTCGGTGATGAGGTCGGGCCAGCGGAATCGTTGTCGAAGCCGTGCAATAGTGCGGTTGACTCCGAGATGGCCGGCGAGTCGCGAATCATGATACTCGCCGAGGAGGCGAGTCCCAAGACGGCGGTCGCGTGGGACACATAGTAAGTCCTTGCCCCGTGAGTGCAGGAGCAAGTACCCATCGGCGATGCGATAGTGGCTGGCTGGTGGGTAATCCGAAGATAGCTGGGCATATAGCGTGGCGAAATCTGTATCGGACTCGTAGCCCTGGATGAAGTGTCGCTGAAGCTCCTCCTCAAATGTGAAGGCATGATGTGTCATAGCGCAAAGTACGTCTTCGCGAGAGCGCATCTGCTGCGCAATTTGAGAGGCCGGGAAGATGTTTCGGTGTGAAGTCAAATTGTTCGATGAAGTACATCCATCGTCCGATCGTGCTGATCACCGTATCCTGCGTCTTGTAGTAGGTCAATGGATTGTTGTTCGTAACCCGTGTGAACCTACGGCGCCCAAAGAGGAAGTGCCGCCAGCGCTTGAGAGCCATGACGAATGCGAGCAGCTCCTTCCTTGCATCATCAAGCGAGTTGATGGGAGGCACTTTGTGGCTAATATACTCCATAGGGTGCCAGTCGTCGCCGTCGTGTTGTTCCAAGACTGCCCCAACGCCATAGCCGGAAGCGTCCGTGGTCACTCTCGTCGGCAGGGTGGGGTCATAGATGCTAAGGACGGGTGCCATGAGCATAGCCGTCTTAAGTGCTTGGAATGACCGGCGTGCGTCGTCATCGAATATGAATGGCACCTTTGGCGATTGTAATCTCGTCATAGGTGCAGCAATCCCCGAGTATCCGGTGATGAATCGCTGATAGTAGCCCGCCAATCCCATGAATGAACGAACTTCCGTGGTGTTGGTGGGCTCGGGCCATACTCGTAGGGCCTCGATCTTGTCCGCAAGCGGTCGGATGCCTTGTGGCGTCACATAATGTCCCAAGTACTCCAGCTCCTGCCGCGCAAATTCGCACTTGTCGCGGTTGGCTTTGTACTTGGCTTGTCCTAGCCGCTCCAAAACGGTACGCACGTGTTCCACATGCTCCTCCAAACTCCGGCTGTACACCAGGATGTCGTCGAGGTAGATAAGTACATATCAATCCAGCATGTGTCGGAACTACGTTGTCATAGCCGCTTGGAAAGTGGTCGGGGCATTTGTAAGGCCAAATGGCATAACCAGCCATTCAAAATGCCCATATCGCGTCCTAAACGCGGTCTTGTAGCGATCCTCCTTCCGAATCTCGAGTTGTTGATATCCAGATTTGAGGTCCAGCTTGGAGAAGAACTTAGCGCCGCCCAGTCGCTCGAGAAGATCGTCGATGCGTGGGAGAGGGCCGGCATTCATGATCGCCTGCACGTTGAGCTGGCGATAATCGATGCACAACCGCAAATCCTTGTTCTTCTTCCGGACGAAGAGAACAGGAGCACCGTATGGCGATGAGCTAGGCCGAATCCAGACTTCTCCAGAAGGTCGTCGAGTTGTGCCCGAAGCACAATTAACTCTTCCTCGCTCATTCGGTAGATGCAACCGCGCAGAGGTACGGCCCCGTCCTCGAGGATGATCTCGTGGCGGATGGGCCGATCCAGTACTACTCCGTGCGGGCCTTCGAACACTTCGCTGTAGGCGGCGAGAAGTTCGGTAATGCGTGGATCCAAAGAACAGTCCGTCGATGAAGCGTCATGGGGTGGGAGGGCATGGAGAAAACACACCCCCATCCCCTCGATGTCGTCTCTGATGATGGAAGCTCGCATGCTTGCGGCGGATACCACGTGCCAGCTGACTGAAGGGTGAGGAGGAGCTACCGTGCATGGGACTAGTACTCCGTTCCGATCACGAATGTGAACGTTGCGACGGTAGAAGTTCTTAGGGTGATCCTCGCTTCGCAGCCATGACATGCCCAAGATCATGTCAAATTTGGTGTCCAGAATGTCAAAGGACACCGCCTCACTTGCGTGAGGGGCTAAGTACACTGGGACGCCATCAATGCACCGGTCGATTGACTTGTGCGTGTGACCATCTGCCAACGTGACTTGCGTGGGCTTAGACTTCCTTCGGACTCGTGGGCCAAGGACGGAGCGTACCATGAAGTCCTGACTCATGTAGTTTAAAGATGCTCCGCAGTCGATCAAAGCGTTGCAAGTCGCCTCTCCGATCTGAATGCGTACATATAGCAATGGTACGCCAATGTCGTCGTACCGTTGCGTCTTGAACTCCAGTCGATCTTCGCAATGTAGGTGTGAAGGTCGACAACCTCTACTCCGGCGTCCATCAACGGAGTCGGTACTGCAGTGTGCAAGTAATCCCGCAATTGTGCCTTGAGCACATTGCAATGCGGACTGCAGTGTGCAAGTAATCCCGCAATTGTGCCTTGAGCACGTTGCAATGCGGTTTCGGCAATCAACCCGACCGGGGAAGGGGCATCCATTGGAAGTCCGCAAATGTCAACAGGTCGAGCTCTTCAAGTCTTGACCATGACGTTGAATCCCCGGCGGTAGATGGCGGCGAAACTGCCGAATCGGTTGCCGATGGTGATGAAACCGTGCATGCGGTAGATTGTTGCACGTGGAGCGGTTGGTCCAACGGTGGGACCAAGTGGACAGCATAGTCCTCGTAAGAATACCGAGAACTTACGACATTCGCATTCTCCCAAGATGTGTAGGAGGCCGCTAGCAAGGCGGCCGAATCTGGCGGAGTGGGGGGTGGAGTCGCCTCACCTCCCACGAAACTCAGTTTCCCGAGTTAAGACGAGGCCGCACATCCTCCTTGGCCTGATCCTCGCAAAGGGAGGTCTTGTGCTTGGTGTTGTTGCACCAGTAACAGCAGCCGTAACGGTTGTGGTACTTGTACTCGGCCTCGGTCAAGATGAACTTGACCCATGGTGGTGCTGGCTCTCCGTTTCCGGCCTGCGATGCTGGTTTCGCCTTCCCGTTCACTCGGGGTTTGTTCTTGCTTCGCGGCTGGACAGCAAACAATTGATCTTCATCATGTGACGCTTGGGTGGCTGCCAGGTCTTCCACAGTGTTGTCCGATTGGACTGCAGCGAACTGCTGCTGTCGCGGACCAGTTCTCACCTTCTCCACATAGGTTGGCTGCCACGTTAACTTCTCGTGTGCAGCCGCCCTGTTGGTCTTGATGATCTCCCTTGCCTTGTCAATGATCTCGGCGAAGGTTGCATACTGCTCGCGATCACCAAGTGCCTAGCTCAATGCAGCGCATGACCTGTTATAGAACTCACGGCGCAGATGCGAAAATGGTAAGTCAAGATCGGGCGTTGCCGCGATCTTCTGCCATTCCGTGCGCTAGTCACGTGTTGCTGTGTTGCCTTGAGTCATGGTGAAGGGACGGTTGATGGCAAGTGTTGGAGCGTCGTCGACGACGAACCGCTTCTTCCACAGCCGTCTAAACTCTTCCCATGTGATCTTGTCCTTCAGATCTGAGACGTCGACGCCGTGGGTGGCTGCCAGGTGGGTTAACGAGATCAGGCATCCGCCCTTTGAGTTCATGAGCAAGGCGCCGATGTACGCGTGCTTGGCGATAGGCAGAATCCGAAGTTGCGTCGTGAAAGCTTCCCACCAGAGCACCGGATCCTGATGCGTGTAGTCGTCGAACTTCTCCAGTTGAAAGGTTGGCATCTTGTATTGCTTTGGATTGTTGCCATCCGTGTTCGTCGACTGTAGTTGCTGGACCTCGGTCTTCAAAGTATCCAGCTGATTGCTGATGGTGGTCGGCGCAGCGAAGGTGCTGATGTCGCCGAGCATTGCGACGACGTGGTCGACGCGTTGCTCTAGTTGGAGGTGAGAGGGTGCACTGCTAGACTCACCAGCATCTGGTCCTAGTACGGCTTGCTCCAAGTCCAAAACACGGGAATTGAGTGCCCGTGTCGCATCCTCGTGGCTCTGCACTATACGGCGGAGGTTTGCCAACTCCTGGTGTTGTGTCTTCAGATCCTGGTACTGTTGCTGCAGTTCCTGGTTCTCTCTCTCTAACTCGGACCGTTGGTAGTTGCAAGCGTACAACAACCGTGTCACGAGTTTGGAGAGGAAATCCTTATGCTGCTCTTCCTGAGTAGCGTCGTCGCCGTTGGACGGTTCAAAGTGCCAGAACTTGAATCTTTCGATGCTGGCAGCTTCATGCCGCTGCAGCAGATCCTGGGCCTCCTTGCGGCGTGCCTGGGTATCTGCGTCTGCTTCGGCCTGTAGCCGCTGCTGCTCAGCTGTTGCCGCTGCTTCAGCCTGTGGGCGGGCAGCCTGGGCTGCCAGCTGGCGCTGTTCCTCAGCCTCGATCAGAGCGATCTGAGCCTGGAACCGCTGTTTGTAGTCGGCAAGTGACTCGTTGGCCAGTTGGCCTGGCATGCCCAGAGCTGTGCCCGTCATGGTGGCGGGGCACTGCTGGCGTGGCACTGTCACGTGGCACTGTTGCTTACATGGCACTGCTGACGTGGCACTGTGACCGACATGGCACTGCTGATGTGGCACTGCCAACGTGGCACTGTTGCCGTGGCACTGTGACCGACGTGGCACTGCTAATGTGGCACTGCTGATGTGGCACTGCTGACGTGGCACTGTTGCTGACATGGCACTGCTGATGTGGCACTGCTGTAGTGGCACTGTTGCTGACGTGGCACTGCTGACGTGGCACTGTACCAACTCAGAAATGCATGCAAAGGGTGGGTTGGGAGGGAAAACGCACGTAGGGAACCAACCCAACAATACTTTCCTCCCGGCCCTAATCGACAGATAAAATAATAAAAAAA